TAAGTTAATGTTGAAAGCAGAATGGAGTGCATTTGCTGAAGTGTAGAGTCTCACTGATAGCCCACAGTGCATTACCCTGTTGTGGGCAAGCCCAGCACATGTATCAAATCAGGACACATTACCCATGCACCTTATAAAAAAGGTAGCATGAGAGTTTATCCTGTCTTACAGCCAGAGCTCTAAGAGATGCCTCTGTCCTTGGCAGAAAGAACTAAGTGATCAAATTCATGAAGGCAGGATGACAGTGAAGGAGACACAGAGCTGGTGTTTCAGTACCTTCATCCAGTTCTTAGGGCACTTAAGAGTGGTATGGCCTTGGCCGATTACTTAAGTTGGGTCTGTTTTCTTAACTATAAAACCTATCTTAAGGTCGTGCTTTGCGAGTTAAGTAATTTGTCATCAATGACCTATTGCTGTTTAACATTATCTCAAAATATGGCATAAAGAAACAATGTACCATTTCTAAAAGTTTTGTGGGTTGATGGAGTGGTTGTCTTGCTAATCTCATCTGGGCTCTCTGCATTCAGCTGACAGAGTGGCTGGGGACAGGGTGGCATGGCAGGGCCTCTCCCTATGGTCTTTTATCTTGGGCTTATGACTTGGTGGTCTCAGTACCAAGAAGGCAAAGGCAGTAGCTTCAAAGCCTGACCTCAAGAACTCAGTGTCACTTTGACCACATTTTTTGGTCAAAGGAAGTTACTTGGCCAGCCTAGATTCTGAGGATGAGGATATAGACTCCTCTTGGTGGGAGAAGCTGTAAAATATGGCCCCGTTTTCAGTCTACCACAGTAATGTTTCCAGTAACATTCATGAAACAACCTTTAAGCTTTTAAGGTGTGCATCATTTGTTTTTATAGTCTATATTCTCTAATTTGAGACTATTGAAAGCTTGAAAACCCTAATTTATTAAAAGGCATTTTCACAAACTATGATCATTGATGGCAGATTGAGTTAATGGTAGTCTCACAGATAAAAACAGATTGTCTTTTGCAAGATTAGGTAGTTAGAAAATGGTAGGTGTAGTGACTATTCCACAAATATGAGTTGAATGCTTACCGTGTGCCAGACTTCTTGGCTAAGTGCTGACAATATCGGATGTACTTTCTGACTTGCAGAGTTTACAGCCTAGAGTTGGACCACAGAACTATAATTGTGCTTTTATAACTACACACACTAACTTCATAGACTTCAGTACATCAAATTTGTTGAAATTAAAGGAGAGGAAAATAACAGTATCCATGAAAGCCTTGTACACTTTAAAAAAAAAATTGTCATATGTAAACAGTTTGCAAAATGTACTAGGAAATATATTCAAGATTTAGCATATCTAATTAGAGGAATTTTTGCTCTTGACATATCTGCTCAATTTTGGAAAAAAGTTACATAGTTGAAGCCTAATATGGGATGTGTTACCTATAAAATAAATGGGGACAAATGCTTTATTAGTAATATTATGTAATTTTTAAGCCAGGTGCAGTTGCTCACCCCTGTAATCCCAGCTACTCAGGAGGCTGAGGAGGGAGAATTACCTGAGCATAGGAGTTCAAGACCAGCTGATGCAACATAGCAAGACCCTGTCTCTAAATAAATAAAATTAGCTGAGTGTAGTCCTAGCTGCTCTGGAGACTGAGGTGGAGGATCGCTTGGGCATAGGAGTTCGAGGCTGCTGTGAGCTATGATTGCACCGCTGCATTCTAGCCTGTGCTACAGAGTGAGACCCTGTCTTTAAAAAAAACAAAAAACACTCCTGTAAGGTAAGTAGTAGTTGGTTGAGTTGAAAGAGCCCTCTTCTTGAGGCTAGTTCCTCTGTAGTAACTTAGTTGGATCTGGTTTATTTTTGTTTGATATTAGGGGCTGCCACTTTTTAAGTGCAATTTAAAGTGAATAATTCAGAAAACAGGAAAATTGTACTTAGAGTTTTTATTAATACTTATATGATACTTAAGAGCTTACAAAGCACCTTGAATTATCTCATTCAAGTTCTCAGAAAAACTCAGGCAGGTATTAACCCAATTTTTCAGTTGAGACATCAAGCTCACAGAGATAAATTAATTGCCCCAAATTATATAACTACTAAGTGCTGGAGCCAGGTACTTCAATGCAGTCCTTCGATATTAAAATTGATTGTGAAAGCCACTTCATTCTTAAGGTTTGTGAAAGAAATATTTGCTTTAGAAATAGTCTCTTTTTATATTCTTGCTTTATCCATTGCCAGCTTTCAGCACAACATCTTTAAAATGTACTCATTATAGTCGACATGGCTTTCTTGCAAAAAAAAAAAAAAGAAATTGGAGCCTGAAACTTCTAAGACTTTACAAACTGAGTGTAGAAATGCTGCCACCTTTGTTTGGCTGCCAAGACACTACCACGAAGGACTGTAGGTCCAGGTCCATTTATTTCATGAGAGTGGATGCAGCTGTCTCCTTGCCACAATCAAATGCTGCTCTATAGCCAGATTTTTGTGGCCAGAAAAAGCAAAGTAATTTTTAGTACAGATTAGCATAAAAATATCTACTAGATCAGTTTCAGGAAACAATTACTAGCTTAGGAACAACAATAAGTGTGATCTATAGGTTGGCTAAAATGGCAGTTAATTTCCAGATCTTTTTTTATACCCCTTATTTCTCACCATGAATAGTATATAAATAGAGTACACTACCTGCCACTGTATTTGGTTTCATAAATTATTTGGACAGGGTGAACAACAGACTTCAATACTAAGTAGAGGTAGTAAATCTGCCCCTTTTTAATGAGTTTGAATTTACAGTAGTAGTTTAAACATCTGGAAGTTTAAAGTCTTAATTCATTCCAAATGTTCAAGAATATACTGCAAAGAGGATATTGTAATTGGGGGATCAAGAAAACTACTGTAGATTCAACCTGAGACCTTTCTACTTTTCTCTATATACATTAATCACATAAAACTTCAGAGGTTGACAGTTCAAAAAGAGAAGAGATGGACCCAAATATCCAAGGTGGCATGCTTATATAAGAGTAACTTTTTTTAAAAAGAGTATAGTTATAAGAAGGGTGAGGTTTAAATGCTGTTAATTGAGACATCTAGGGTGCAGCCAGATAGCGCTGCTGGGTTCTGTGCTTCTTATGGATATGAGGTGGCGGTTTCTTTAAATTGTTAGCATTAAAGCTGGCCTTAGAGGAGTCAAAACTTTTGACTTCTAAATTGTAATTTTGATTAATGCATCTTGTAATCCAAGAATCTGGTCTGCAGCCAGGGCCTAGCATGAGACCAAGCATTCCTTTAGTGCACACTTATGGAATCCCTACTGGACACTGGTTATGTGTTGTTTTAAAACCAATTTTC